CAGCAAATAAATATTTTGTAGCAAATAAGTAGCATTTAATAAACAGCGGCGTAAATGAATGCCAGCTTAGGCTGCCATAGAAGCTTAGTTGTCTGCATACTTATACTCTCATACTTGCTTGCAGCCAGTGTGAACAGCTATTTGTATATCAATATAAATAAATAATAGCAATGTTATGAGTGCACTTGTAAGGGAGGAATATAAAATTAAGGTTATGATAGCCTTCGCATTTTGGCAGTTAAGTAAAAGACAACCGAAAGGATTAATGCATAAATACTTTAGGCGTTGGCATTTTTCATTGTACATACATATGTACAGACAATAAAATGTTTGAAAATTTTTTTATATTAAATTTTTTTTTAAATTTCTTGGTAATTTGAAACTGGATAGATATTTCTGTTTATTTTAAAATTAAACATAAATGTTAGATATTTAAAAGTCCTAACATAATTTTTTTGTTTTATAAAACCTGGATAAACACACATTTTCTGTGGCTTTTAAACTAGATTTTGGTGCTTTGCTTTAAAAGCTGGGTATAAATTTTGGTAATTGAAGAACTGGATATAAGTTTTTGGTAATTTAAAAAGTGGGCATAAATTGTTGGACATACTTAATTTACTTTGAAAAGGTAAATTGAATTCTTTCAGACAAGTCGATATCAACTATTGAATTGCAAAGAGAGAACAGCAAAAAGTGGACATGCGAAAAATGTCTTAATGCATGTTTTTTTATTCATCCTTCAAAAACAAGTGATATATTAAAAAATGCATTTTTCGGCTTTTGAATTACTACATAAATTTTACCTTTTTGGTTGTTGTTGTTTCCGACAGGGTGGGTGTATAATGTATTTTGGAACGAATTTCCGTCATCCCTTGTCAAATTTGGTTTGGAGACAAACCGGTTTCGGCGTTGTGCCATCTTCAGTGTAATTTTCGTTCGTTTGTCTCCAAGCCAGATTAGGCAAGGGATGACGGAAATTCGTTCCAAAATACATCATACTACATAAATATTTACATCCAGTTTTTTCTTTCGAATATTCAGTTAGCGGAAACAATAAATTGAAGATCTTATTTCAATACAAATTCGAGCAAAGAGGTGATTAGAGCCATCGAGGGCACCTTCAAATTCAAGACGTACGTCGAAATTGACTTGTTACAGTACCCATATCGTAATTATGCTAGACTAAAGCGGGTCTCCCAAGATAACTGAAGCTCTGTAAGACCCGCTGTTTAATTCTTCTAGAGTATAACAGTTTGCGGGAGCCATGCTGATGCTTAGTTGGCATTAGCGTACACCGGAAATTTGGTCTCAAGAGTCTTCACTAGTGAGACAATTAGGAATATCGATCGCCAGGAATTCCCATTATTGGCAGCTGTCTTTGTTTTTAGTAGTGGGAACACTATTTTTAATTTGCGCAAATCAAAACTGATGAGAATGGTCATCGACAATTCGGTGTTTTGTAGAGGTATACTCCACTCCCACCGGCCCAATTTGGTTACCATCAGCGTGCATAATCCGATGGGTAAAAAAGTTGTGGAGTCGTCTTCTTTCCCGAAGACCATCAAGAAAGAAAGGACGCACTCGCATCGAGTCCAACGAAGTGTGACTACGAAATGAAATTTACACTCTGCCTTCGCTCTTCATAGTTTCGGATATGGCCTTGACGATCACTATAGCTGCAAACAACGATCGCAATCTCATACATACAGCCATTACAATCCCATCACGCCTGGTAAGGAAGATCCTTATTTAAACGCAAACGTGGCTAAACACACTGAAGAGCGATGCCGGAGAACCACCTATTTTAATGTTGGAAACACAAACTCCTCCCATCTTCGCTGATGCAATCGGACCTTCGTGGGCGTATGATATACTGTGATCTAATTTCGAAACGACTGGAGAAGTAATGTTAATACCTACGAAGCTGGGATGGATTCCGATACAGGAAAATTTTGTTCGAAAAGCAGAAATGACTTACACCATATCGCTCACCTGCTATAGCTTTATCTGACACCAGAAGCATTCTGGACTGAAATAACGACTATTACCCTGTTTTAGGCCGTCATCCATTGGACATTGGAAACAATCATGCGATTCATGTATGGGCAGTTCCCAAATGTTGCTCAGCCGAACATAGATATATACATACATATTTACAGACATATATAAATACATACATACATTTGTAAGCTAATTATACAACTTCGCCGATTAAAAACACACGCTGCTGACAAGTGAACGCACAGTTGATGACAAAATGTGAACATTTGCTAAAATTTTGCAAAGATGCAAATTAGACAACAGTTTAAATTAACAAGATTCAAATGACAGTGGGCAGTGACAAATTTATTGTAAGTATGCATTCGTGCAGTTAGTTATGTATGTATGTACCTTTGCATATACATACATACATGCATATAATAATCATGGAAAAAGCGCTGACAATTGATGGTTTTGTTTGGTGGGAATGCGAGTTGTTAGATGAGACAGTAGCAATTTTAGGTAGCCACGCCATGACAGAATAGTACTTGCAGTTGTTGTGCAAACATATATTTAAAAACAGATTTGATAGACATGCCTTCAGTTTTAAACAATGAGCAGCACCGACAGTGACGACAGAAAAAGCATATGTATATTAGACTGCATCACTCCCCATACCAAAAAAAAAAAAAACGGGACTACTTTTCCACCGGAATTCTAAAATCTATTATTTTTTAAGACTTTCACCGAAATATTTCGGAAAAATATTAAGAGTTACGTGAGCTGGGGCAATTTGAAAATAAAAATTTATTTTAATTTTAAAATTTGAAATTTAGTTTTTTGTGATTAAAAACAGTTTTTTTTTAAGATTTTTTTGCAAAAAATCATCTTAAATAACAAAGCAGTTTAAGCTTCCAAAGTTTCCATAAAAATATCAAAAAAAACTTCAACGGAATAACAATAATGAGATTTTTGATGCTGTTTTTGAACTTTTCAAAGACTGCTTAAAAAAAAAAACTTGAATACCTCAGCCTAAACTTTACAGATTCAGACTTATGGGGTATCAGGAATTCTCTCACTCTTTTTTATTTGTTTGCAAAGCATGAAAGAGAAAAGTAGGATGAACGAGCGTCATTCCAAGTTGAATTAAGGTGTGCTGATATTTAAAAAAAAATACATGTGAATGAATTATTTTGCAAAGAAATAAAACGGGTGAGAAAATGCCTTTTGACTGATACCTCACAAGTCCATATCGACATAATTTTGGACCAGCTATTCAAGTTTTTCTTAAACAAATGTTTGAAAAAATTTAAAAAACAGCATCAAAAATCTCATTATTATGATTCCGTTGAACAAATTTTTGAATATTTTTATGTAGATTTTTAAAGCTTAAACTGTTTTGTCATCTGAGGGCATTTTTACCAAAAATCCTTTAAGAAACTATTTTTATACATAAAAAACAAACAATTTTTGGAGGTATTTTTCAATCGGTCCAGCTCACGTAAGTCTTAATGTTTTTCCGAAATATTTTGGTGGAAATCTTAAAGTATAATAAATTTTGTAATCCCGGCGAAAAAAAACGCAACTCTTTTTTGGTGATGCAGTCTAATGTACGTATATAAATATGCATGTTTTGATTGTATGTGAACGTATTCGTAAACCTGTGACAAATTTGAAAGCAACAGCACAAAATTGTGAATTGCAAGTACAATAGCAACAAAGTTGTAGACTCACTTCAATATCACATTACAAATGCTCACAAAACGTTTCTTTGTTGTTTGCCAAAACTATGCAGAGGAGAGGTGGAGCGGAAAGTGAAAGGGCGCCAAAGGCCTGACCACATCGATTGTTGGGCATTGTACGAGTATTTAGTTGAGCAGATAGTAAATTTGCGGATCGAAAGGCATAACGATGCAATGTGGAGATACATAAATATCGAACTGCGCCGCCACTCTGTGCGATGACAGATTGCTCTATTTGTATGTTTGAATGCATAGTCTGACAGGTTTACTTCTGTCTGGCGAATAAATTAGCGTCTGCTGCCACTTTGGATGGCTGAATGAATGAATATTTTTGTATTTACATACATACATCCCTGCAGGAAATGTATCTAACTGTAAGTTTACCTGAAGTTGATTAGGAAGGAGCTAAATAAAGGTCACGGTTATTTGTACATTTTCTTTGAGGAAAGCTAGCTACATATGGCGATGGGTCAAGGGTGGCCACTAAGAATACTAGTAGCATCATTGCCGTAGACGGTAAGTCATTTCACTAGCGGCGTTCCGACAGTGCAAAACTCTGACGTGCGATTCGAATGATCTGAAATTCGCATCCTCGGTCAGCGAATGTTTTTCTTTTTAAATTAATTTTAAATTTTTTTCAATGTGTTTTTCAAATTAATGTTTCTTGTTTTATTTTTAATTTTTTTTTTGTTTTAAAACGCAAAAAGTGTTGCTTTTAATTTTATTTACTTTTGATGATATATAAGTGTTTAGATTTCCCCTAAAAGAGATTAAATTTACAAATTTTTAATCTATATCTATAAACAGTGACTCAAACA